TTTCCTCGTACACACTAAAAAGAAAAGTGGTAACCACTCCAAGTTATCCAGAATCGACCGCAGACAAGCAATTATGTACGTATGACGGCCTAATAAGTTTTTATCGACGGATCATACTGAATTGCGCGTCCCTCATGAGATGATTATCAGAACAACTTCGTGCGAATACGCTTATAAAGGGTCAGCCAAGAAATTAAAGACTTGTCACAGTGACAGGCCAACTATCTTTGAGAAACCCAGGAATGGTGAAATATTAAGCATGACAATAGGTTATATAGCAGCTTATTCAGCTTGTGCCTCAGGACATCTCCGGAGTCACCTTGTTAAAGCTGTATAGACAAAGTAACCAATCTCACATGAAACGAAATCAAACTAGGCTGCTTAAAGTAATATTTGGATCACTTAAATAACTGGACTTCATATTACAGAATGGATATAAACTAAAGAGTTCAGAAGTTTTTATCCGTAAGGACTTGTCGCTCGTAGACCCTGTAAAAAGACGAGAAGCTTCGTAAGAGAATGATGGTGAAGCCACACTGGGTGCATCACAAAGCAATTTGAATAGGCTTTTCATCTGTTACACAAATGCCCGAAGCTTGCTCAATAAGTGTTCGAACGAGTTGTACAGATTAGCGCTACCAAGCCAGATATAATCACAGAAACTTGGCTGACTCAGCCTGCAAGTAATATGGAAATTGATTTTACGTTGGTAAGAGAAGACAGAATTTATTGGTCAGACACTATCAGCAACAAACTACTATGGGAGAGGACAAACCAGATTCCAGTGGAAGAAATCAGGAAGAAGCGCTGGAAGTGGATAGGACACACATTGAGGAAAGCAACCAACTGCGTCACAACGCAAGCCCCCACTTGGAATCGTCAAGGCCAAAGGTGGAGAGGAAGATCAAAGAACACATGACGTCGAGAAACGGAGATAGACATAGGAAAAATGGACAAAAATTGGAGAGGACTGGAAAGGAAGGCTCAGGACAGAGTGGGTTGGAGAATGCTGGTCGGTGGTCTATGCTCCATTGGGAGTTACAGGCGTAAGTAGGTAAGTAATTATTACTCAGTGAAATCAAACGTCTACCAGGTCAATCTTATTCTAATTGCAGGATGTCGGTGAGCTGTTCTGTGGCCCAGAAGAGCAGCCTACTGAACACGTGTTTTTGATTTCTTTATTTACACATCGCCTTCCGTTCTGCGCCACTCGGGAAAACCACATCACGACTGCTTGGAACGGTAATGGTCTTATCCGGGTAGTCAAGCAAAACCTTAAAGTCGTACCCACCGACGTATATTATATATATATATATATATTCCTCCATATTCGAATTCGTCACTGTCAGCACACAGGTCAGTAATGCAGCTACCATCAACTTTCTTACTACCTAAAGCCGGAAGGGTCATCGGTTGATGGATTAGCAGTATACTGCTAAAACAGAAAATGTAAGACGTCAATGGCAATAAGGCTTTGAGCATCCATTCCTTGAGGTGAGTTTCAAACGAACACATTTGTAGGAATTCGCTGTTTTACTCACCACATTTCACTATTCCCTCCGAAGAAAAGGAACAATTAGACTGCCTACATTTAAAAGTACAGCCGATCATTGTAAACAGATTTAAGGGTGAAATGCATGGAATACGAACAAGTCTGGGAATCAATTAAAAACGGAGTATCGAAAAACTAATACGAGGAAAATTCTAAACCTTAGTCGAAACAGTCGAAGTTAAAATAGACCAAATATGCCACTAAAGTAATATATACACGAAAGTAAGTTTATTTCAATTATGCATGGAAATTATCGCCTTTTTTTAGCAAAGATGAGCCTTCTACTATGTTTCTTTTAAGGTATGACAAGTCGGAGAAACTTCTACTTTAGGACAAGTCAATCAAACCAAGGATGGCGGATATTAATTTCGGACGTGAAATTCACCCATTCATTTATTCAAGTTGGGTATCTGCATTAAAGCGATTGTAATTTCACAATGAAAAACTCCACTCTAACTCGCAACCTTAACTAGTAACCACAATTCTCAATCCTAATTCCTCATAATAATTCATGACTTTCTTTTGGCCTAAGTAAGTAGGTGAATCATCTCAAGGTCACTTACGCGCTGCCTGAAGTCACGTGTAGTTTATAGTCTTACCTCTAATTATTTCTAAAACGTCACCTGCATACCGTTGCCGCTTTCCCACAGAGCAGAACGTTTGACATGTCAAGGTCCTTCTGAAGAATACTATGAATCTACGCACAATGTCATTCGCACATTTAATTTTATCGGCGAATTTCTTGTTTTCTTTTATTGCTACCGATAACATCACAAATGATAGTTAGGAACGATCATGCCGACAGTTAGAGTCCCATACGGCAACAACACTTCTTTTAGCTTAAAAAAGTTAACTTTAGTTTCGAACATTTACAAAATAAAATAACAATAACGGATTAATATTTTGTGCCATAAGACAAGCGAGCTTGCCTGAAGGAATACATTGACTTCGGTAGAAGCCACAAAACCAAAGAAAATTTGCACTCAGCATTGTCAGTAGACAATAGAGCCACAGTCCCCAATTGAAACAACTCGAGACGTACTAAGAAATTTACTTCAATCCGCATGGCTTGGACTACACGAAGGAGTGCGAGAAACACCCTACCATGGTTCAGTAGGGAGATTCGCATCCTTCTCCATCAGAGAAGAAAAATGTGGGACAGATTTAGGTTACTGGGGACTGATGAGACAAAATGTCAATATCTAGAAGCTCGAAATACTTGTGCGTCGGACCCACGTAACTCTAGAAGGTCGCACGAAGAGAAAATTGTCAAGGAATCCATAGAATGTCCTAAACGCTTGTATTCGTATATAAACCAAAGGACAAATGTAGGGGCAATATTCCAGCACTATGGGGAGACAGTACTGCTTTATCATTAGTGGAGGACGAGTTTGGCAAAGCACAAGTATTCCCAAACTACTTCAGCAATGTACATACCAAAGAAACACCCTTCCCGTCAGTCCATACAAATCCCCACACCATCACTGAACAGCGTGACCATAAAATAACTCGATGTCTTTAATCTGGTAAATAAGTTGGACATGGGCAAATCTACGGGGCTCGATGAACTGCATCGTAGGTTATCAAAAGAAATGGCCAACTTCTTTGCGATTCCCTTAAGTTTGTGTTTTAATCTATCCGTAACTCAGTGTCGTTTACCAAAAGACTGGAAGAAAACCATAGTAAGTCCTGTCTTCGAAACAGGTACGAAACATAAACCTGAGAACTACCGACCCGTGTGCCTAGTCAGTGTAGATTTCAGAATTTTAGAAAAGATTTTTCGGAAGCAGCTGTTTACGTACCTCGATGAAAACGGGATGATTTCGGAAAAGCAGGATGGCTATAGAATAGGTCATTCCTGTCTCACCAACTTAGCAGTGGCCTGTGAAGCCTGGTGCGCTCTTAAGGACCAAAAGTTACATGTAGACGTGGCCTACTTTGACTTCAGCAAAGCTTTTGACAAAGTTCCGAACAACCGGCTGTTATATAAGTTAAGAAGTGTCGAGGTTTCAAGCAGTCTTGATGTGGGCAGAATACTTCCTAGTTGAGCGCCAGCAAAGAGTACGAGTGAACTCCAAGTTGTTTAACTAGGAAACTGTGCTTAGCAGAGTGCCTCAGGGTACAGTTTTGGGGTCAGTGTTATTCCTGTTGTAAGTAAATGACCTTCCTCGTCTACTATCATCATCTGTCTTGCTATAGGCTGACGATGTCAAGATGTGGAGAGCGATACGAAGTAAGGGTGATAGCTTATAACTCCAAAATGACCTGGAGAAATAATCTGGGTGGTCTCAAACCTGGCAGTTGCCGATAAATGCTTACAAGTTTGTTGTGATGCATATCGGTCATGAAGGTGTAGATACATACACGATGAATAACACTCAGCTACCTGTTGTCCAGACACACAATGACTTAAAAGTAATTGCTAGCCAAGACTTAAAGATCGCTGCACACTGCCATGCAATAGCCGTCAAAGGCTTTAGAACCCTGAAGTTGGCACAGATATTCAGTGTTTGACAACGCTTTTACCAGTAACACCTTCTCTTATAACTCATACCCACCAAAAGAAATCGAAAAACAGAATCGAGGGGATCAGAAGTTGTATTTGACGATTGCCAATATATCGGAATTGTCTGATCTAGTCTGGCTAGCGATTGCAGTAGATGTTGAGCACGGCGTTCCCACACGTGATCTGGTACGGATGCATGACAGAGCGCCTTCAGTTAGGTGAGTCCACCAAAACTAATCTGCTCAGCATCCAATGTCGAAAACTTACAGAGCTATTTATTTTGGGGATTTATTTACTGCTACAACCCTATGGTCAATACGTAGGGCCTTCAGTCATGTTGATGCCAAAACGTTTTTTGACTTTGTATACAGCATTCATGGGTCCTGAACTTGAGTACTACATACAAGCGGCTAGCATCCGCTTAAAAATGGACAGTGAGCTTTTGGAAAGGGTTCAATGAAGTGCAACTCAGATTTTTTCCGGAATAGCGAGGCCCCCGTATGACGCTCTATGGTCTAAGCTAAACTTATTCCCCGTGTCTTATCGAAGAACTAGAGGACCCTCAAGTCCCGGACTTGATTACAGCTGTCAAATTACTTATTGATGAATTTGTACCTGATATGCCCTCATTTTTTATCTTCCAAAACAGAGGATTTACGAAGACACTCCAAAAATCTTCATAAGCCCAGAACAAATTACTTGTCAGCTGACTGTCAACGTTCCCATCGAATCATCAACGAGTGGAATTCATTACCCCAGCACGTAGTTGAGGCTCCATCCGTCGACTCTTTCAAAGTAAAGTTGGACCAACTGAGATATTATCATTGTCATGACTGACAGAGGCCATCAAGCCTCATGTCCCTTCCAAACTGACATTGAAACCCTCTAGTCCTTTCGTAACTGAAACTGAAACTGATGGTCGTTCGATGATTTGAACATTATATCGTGACCTTCAGAGAATTTCAAGCATCTGAAAATACTACTTAGGTGTTCACACACGATGAAAGTTATCAATAAATTAAATGTATTGAAGAACGTTTACAGAGAGTATCGTATGGTAACTGCGATAGATGATTGTGAGCCTTACGAAAAACTACTTATTAGTATCCTTTGAAAATAAAATAGTACATTATGTCATTATTTCCATTAAAATCGCAGTTGTCACATCAATATGCAAGCTTTTGTCATTTCTTTATCACATTGTTTCTTCTAAAAGTTTGCTAGTATTGTCCTCTTGATTGTATATTTGCTAGTATTCAATTTCATTGTTCCATCTCATTTATAGATTATGAAATTAATTTTATAATCATTGGGAAACTCAAAAAGTCATTCGAATACTTTGTTACACAAGTGATTGATCAGTAATTTCATATCAAACTGATTTATCGTAGTTTCTAGAAACTAGGAGCTTCTAGGTTTTTAAATGACTTCTCAAGAATTATTGTTTGAATATAGTTTAGGTTAGGTGGATTGTATTTTTCATCCACATAATATACTTCTTTGTGTTGTGTTAATAGTTTGTTGTTTAGTACTTATAGATTATGAAATTAATTTTATAATCATTGGGAAACTCAAAAAGTCATTCGAATACTTTGTTACACAAGTGATTGATCAGTAATTTCATATCAAACTGATTTATCGTAGTTTCTAGAAACTAGGAGCTTCTAGGTTTTTAAATGACTTCTCAAGAATTATTGTTTGAATATAGTTTAGGTTAGGTGGATTGTATTTTTCATCCACATAATATACTTCTTTGTGTTGTGTTAATAGTTTGTTGTTTAGTACTTACGCCTCTGATTGAACTGACTGGTATGTTAACGGCCTGAAATGTTGTTGAGGTTATACAACCTCCTACGTATAGGCATACAAACTACTCGACACTGACTATATTTTATTGAAGGTTAGATCTAATACTTAGAGGGTATCACTGTAGATTTTGTCTGGTGCTTTCTTCATTCCACACATCATTATATGTTGCCTCATTTATCTCTGTGTATTTGTGCTCGAAAATAAATTGCTAATACAACTTGAACACTACTGGTATATATATATATATATATATACAATACTTCGTGGCTCAGTTTCTGATACGCATAATCTGAAGTAACCTTACACGGGGTGCTGCTAAATTTGTTGTTCATCAATAAATAATGTGCGAAGTACCACTGGTTTTTTAATGGAAATTTTTTAGCTTAAATTCACCATAGCGTGTAGTGTTTTGAACTTTGTTTGAGTAGGATATTCGGTAACACAATTCAGTATTCGGTAAATATTTTAGGGTTTACTCAAAAGAGGACTTTCACTGAGATCGATAGTTTATTTTTCCTTGTGGGAAGATTAGAACATGGATTTTGTGTATGCACGTCAAAAAACCCGGTCAACAGAACCTTATTTTGACATATACACAACTAGAGTGTGCTCTGTCAATACATATTTTCAACAAAAAAAAATGAATAACATGAATTGATCTTTAAATTTTGATTGTGGAACAACCATTACAAGCGTTTTTATCATTGTTGCGGTGTATTTCGAAACGTATGGCTCCGAAAACGTCACATGGAGAAACCTATCTAGATCTTGATCATCTTTCTTTTTTCTGACCACCTAAAGGTGTTCACCGAGCTAAATGAACGAACTTCTATTTTCCAGCAGAGGTTTGTAAGTGTCAGTACAATATTCCTCAAGATTGGTTCATGTAAGTCCTGGTATGTTCAGCAATAATCTAGCATTTTTTCACTTTTATAATTAGACGTTCTAATTTTGCAAGCAGGATTAGTATATATACGTAATTGTCCGACTGAATAAGTGATGTGCCCTCTTAGTGATATTACGCACTCAATCACAGAAAGGTAAATTGTGACTCCCTATTTTGTTTCCAAGCACGGTTTATTTTACCAGCATTGTATCTCATTCCTAGGACGATTACTGCGAATTTTCCTTACAGTGAATTTTACTTGTTTTAGATACATGCATGATGTTGATATTGTGCAGTCTGTTTTACATGGCATTTCTTTTAATACCTGGATATGTGATAATACTGCATCAGTTTTTGTTCGACTGTTTTAAATAAGAACAAAAGTGGCTTTGGAATATATTGTTGTGTTTTATTTTTAGTAATTTATATCCACACTATTGTTAAGCTGAATACATCAGTAAGTTATTTTTATTATTTTTTGAATATTTGCATAAATATAAAACTTTCTAAATCACTTCGTATGGCTTATTTTACGATCTTTCGTGAAGAAGGCCACAGATTATTTATACCAGTTGACAAATTATAGTTATCTGTAAAGTTGTATAAAGGGCTCATTATTTAGCATCAACTATAATCTTCATAAATAAACAGTTCCATAAACATCTGGACCATGACTGCCTTTTATTTTAACTTCTCCTTGGAAATTCTCTTCGTCAAAAATAAAGTGTTCTGTGCTTTTTTTGGCAGAGTGAAGTGAAATACAGTTTCGAAAACTATTTAGTAGTGTAGTTTTCATCATTAGTTATCTAAACAATCTGTTTAATTCGAAACACGTCGGTTGCATATTTTTCAGATAAATTAAATATCTCTTCCTCAAAACTGTTCTCGATCGGTTCTCATATGATCCTGACATCTAAGATCTCGTCAAATTGAACTTAGAGCTTCTTCTTCCAGATAAGTGCTTGCTCATCCATTATACACTAATTTAGTGGTGTGTTTTCTAATTGCTTTATTACAGGATCGACATTAACATTATCATCAAACTTCATAATATGGACAAAACAAACGACGTGGTCAAATAATATTTTGTTCAATTTTTAAAAAATAAGGAATCGTTTAGTAATGGTTCAAGCTTGCCACCGAACACACTACTTTCGTATGTTTAGTAGGTGGCTCTTACAACGGTATTTTGTATACTTATTACGGTAGTATCATTGATAAACTATTTTTGCCTTAAGTAAAATCTTATGAAGTTGGACCATTATATATTTCATTTAAAATAAACTAACCACCTGAACTAAAATATTATTCCATTTACCAGCTGAAGTGGTACAATGGAAACACTCCATAAGTGCATGTCAACCCTGAAATACAATTAAGAAATATTACTGCATATCTGAACGTTGTTTATTTGTTCTTTGTACATTTGAGTTTTTTAAACAATGTGATGTAGGTTGTATCTTAATCATATATGGCAGTTCTCATGATAAATATCTTCAAGAAACTATTTTACTAAAGTCAGGATCTAGAATAGCCTTCGATTGTTCGTAATTTGATGACTGCACTTCTGAGTAAGACACATTTGCACTTAGAGGTAAGTGATAAATCTTTCCGCTCTTTAGTTCCTAAATTTAAGTTAAAGTTTCCATTCTTTCTATCAGATTTTCATGGTTGCACCAAACAGAACTAATATGGGTGGCAAGCAATAACTTGGGACGGAATTACTTATCTAAACCTGTTAGTACTTTTGGAATTTTCCTTCAGGTTGTTCCCAAGTGCTATGCACTATCTTGATGTCTGTCTCCTATCCCCTGCGCCGTGTGTCCTATGGTTTGCCACCCTTTCTTTCGCCTTGACGATTCCAAGTTATGGCTTGCCTCACGATGCATCTTAGCAATTTCCGTAAAGTGTGTTCAATTTGCCTTTTTTGTCTTTTCCTAATCTCCTCAACTGGAAGCAGATGTTTTTGGCAGAGCACATTATTGTTGATGGTCCCTGTCAATTAATTTGAGACATTATGTAGACAGCTGTTTGTAAAAACTTGCACTTTTTCGATTATGGTTGTGGTAGGTTTTCAAGTTTCAGCTCCGTACGATAGATCCGTTTTAGTGTCAGTTTTAAAGTGATTGTCACCCAATACCACAGTCAGAATATTCGAATTCCAGATAATTCACGGTTGTGGCAATATTCCCTTTTCTTTGCCAAGTCTTATCTTTAAATCTGTTTCAGATCTTTCTTGTTTGCCCATGATACTGCGAAAGGACATACAGGATTTCACTCTATTCAGAGCTTCCTCATCGTGTACAATGTGACTGGTGCTCCGTGTGTTGTACTATAGGATTTCGTTTTCCCTTTATAAATGTCGAGAGCTATTTCTGAAGAAGACACCGCTACATTGGCCATCTTCGTCGGCATTTGTCTCTATGTATGGAATAAAAGGGCCAGTTACAATTTATCCAGCTGTATCCAAGGTGTCCAATGTATTTTGTGCATTTGAAATGTGGGTCCTCATGATCCAGTCAACAACCAGTGGAAAGGAAAAAGACGAGAGTAAATAGCCTTTTCTTATATCAGTCTTCAATTAGAATGCGTTCGTTAGTGCGGGCCTATTTACGAGTCTTTCAAAGTGATCTCCCCACTTCTTTTGTTGCTCTTGATCCTCAGTGGTCAATTTTCTTTGTTTCTTCCTGACTAGCCGCTTTGGTTTACTATATTTTCTGCCAGCCTCTTTGTTGTATCATATAGTTGTCCTAAATGTTCTCTTTCAGCTTGTTCTACTGTAGTTCCCAGGCCATCTACATATTTTCGCTCGTCACCTCGAAAGCTCCTCATTCATTTGTTTGCTCCTACCTTGGCTTTATGTGCTTTCATCTGGCTGTTGTTGACTGTTTCCTTTTTATTTTTCTTTCCTTGCATATTATCTAGGATGTTTACAGAAACCTTATATTTATTCAAACAGTGCTATAGCTTAGAAGAAACTTTGGTTTAGAAATCTTTCTGCTTCGTTCCCGACTAGCCTGACGCGCTTGTTTTTTATTCAACCACTCCTTATCAGTTTACAATCACTCTCAACCGCTTATTAAAAGCAAAAAACAGTACACCTTATTGTAGTGGTGGTCAAAATGAAGAATAGTTGAGACCGTTTATTAAACGTAGCCGGAAACACCGTTTAAGAATCTATTACCGTTAACGGTTGATTTTCTTTTATTTCCAACATCTAAAAGGCGTATAAGAAACTAAAAAATCAGTATATGCGTGAAAATCATTCTAAAAATGACAAATATCAATAATAAGGACGTGTATTTTTGTAGCAACAAAACTGGCTTAGTAAATCTTAAGTTTTATCAATTAATTGAAAAACATTAGCATTTGAATCTGAATATTCCTACTGGTAATGTTTACTTCAAATATTTGGGGAAATGTACATATGGATAATTCTGTGGTTATTACTTGGATTCGTTGTAAATACTCTTTGATTTTACTTTTGATATATGTGAAGGTAAATATCAAAAGGCACCAATAGGAATTTCCTAATTAACGTACATTTTGTAAAGACAATCTACTTACTTTCTGTTGCCTGAAATATTCATTGGAAGAAAAATGTTGCTTAGTGTGGTAGAATAAAAAAAATCAGTGATTATGTTAAATAATGTTTGGGGGATTATTTATCTTTTTTATCTTGACATTTTCGTATAAATGCAGAATATTTGAGTGAATTAGCATATATATACTCACCTCCTAGCAAAATAAAAAAGCCTGTTTTTTATTGTTAAGAATGATTATTACTTCCAAGTTATTCGGGGGAATTAATGCCACCATAGAAGTATTTCGAAAGAGAAAACTTAAAAACAGTCTTTGTCAGCACCAACAGATAATAAGATCAGATAGACTTGTGATATTGTTTAATTTTGCTTTCGAACATTTTCTTATTCACACCAGTATATTTATCTTTTGATCATCATTATCTACCAGTTAGCTGAAAATTGTTTTAGAGCGAGATATAATCATATGTGCTACATTTTAGCTTACTTCTAATCATTAAGATCCCTTTGCTGTTTGGATCATGACCAAACAATTCAAATTTAATAGATATATAATTACCAACTCTTACAATTTTCAAAAATTCTAAATAGTGTAAACTAGACATTACATAAATAATTGAATAGTTCTACGCAGTTTTCGTATCTTCTGGTCGGCTAACAGACTCCAAAAACAACATTTTAGGTTAATTTGTTCTAATTTACTATTCCAAATCCAGAACAGTTGTAGGAGATTCATATTTAATTGAGAGAGATTGTGTTCTGTTGTATGATCTCAAAAAAAGTGAACTTGGGAAATCGAGTTAATTCAGTATTTTTTACAGGCAGAATTGAAAGAAAATTGATTCAAAAGAACTGGTAGATATTTTTATTCCATCCAAACCATAAATATTTAGTAAGGCAAGAGCATTCAAGATTCAGATGGATCTCTGTTCTCTGAGCTGGATGGTTTGGTCGTGGAGCTTTCATCGTTCTTCTGAACGACATCATCAGCACAAACTTCAGATAGAAGTGAAGTGTTCGAATTTCTCCATATGCGTTTAACAGCTTGCTCTATACACCTCGACGTTGATTGGTTCTTATTGACCTTAAATTTGTTGTTGTTTACTTCTTTGTTTTGATGTGCCTCCCTTTGGTTTGATTTTTGTTCCTATATTTATGCATAATTCTCCTGATTGGTTGATAAATTGGATCGATTTCAATGTCCTTGTTGATTGACCTGAGTGCCAGGCTTCTCAAAATTCTCTGGTGTTTTTGGAATTTCCTCTGTCCAAGATTTCCACATTTTTCCAATCGAATGAGTGTCCACAGTTGTCCACGTGTATTGATAAGTGAGGAAGTATCGTGGCGTTTGACCGTTAATCGATGTTCGTGTAGGCGAAGGTAAAGGGGGCGTTCGCTTTGTCCGATGTAGTGTTTTTTGCGGTTCGCACAATTTATTTTGTAGATGATGTTTGATTTGTCTTCCTTTGTTATTTCATCCCTTGGTTTGCACAGGATTGATTGTAGTGATTTTGTCGGTTTGTGTGCCACACCTATCCCGAAGGTTCTCAGCAGTCTCGTTGAGGTTTCTGATATGCGTTTATGTGTGGTAGGGCGATCCTTTTGTTGATTTCTGTCCTTGACTTAGGTTCTGATTCTGCGTGCGGTTGGTATTTTTTGATGAAGTTCATTGGGTAGCCGTTCTTTTGAAATATGTCCTTCAGGTATTTCTCTTCATTTTTTCGTGCTTCCAGTGTGCTGCATTGTGTCCTCGCCCTTTTGAACAAAGTGTGTACGCGGTTGATTTTGTGAGCTCTTGGGTCGTTGCTATTGTAGTTGAGGATTTGATCTGTATTGGTCGGTTTCCTATACACTTGAGTTTCCAGTTTTCCTGTGTCGGTTCTAGTGATTAATACATCCAAGAATGATAGTTTGTTGTTTGACTTCTGTTCCATTGCGAACTTGATATCATCGAAGACGTTGTTGATCAGCTTGT